CATTCATGCACGCAAAAAAAAATATAATCAATTTTAGTATTCACCTTTTACGTGTTACATTTAACATATTATTACTCCTGCCCCCCCCCCCCCCAAGAAATGTAACACTCAAAACCGTGAGAATTTACTCACTATTAACCAAACGTTAATTTTTCCATAGAAATATATTATACATAACAAGACGTGAAACGTAACACGAGAAGCGTCTCTTACAAAGTGCCAAGTTAAATTATTTTATTTTATTTCATTTTATTTTGTTAAAAATATCAATGAAAATAAAAGGTACGCACGTATGTACATGTATAGTGTGAATATCAGAGTCAAATAAAAAAAATAAATTCCATCAGGTATGAAACAGACTTTTATCCTCGCCATCAGACAGTTGGGTTTTGGACCACCACGTAGTAGCAATTCACAGACGGGGGTCCTTCATATTCACTTTTTATTATTATTATTATTATTTTTTTTTTTTTTTTTATAAAAACTCTTATATACACATCATACTTTATAATATCACGTCATACGAGCACGATGAAATAGTGGCATGGGCACTATGCATAGCAAAAGGAATGCTTATTTTCATCGGTAGTAGTATTATTATTATTATTAGTAGTAGTAGTATTGTTATTATTATTATTCTATATGATACCATACACGCGGTTGAGTCTATATACAATAATCTATACAGCGAGAACTATTATATGCTATACCACTTGAGTATGTCTCTCATTTACTTTTGAGATACTTGACTGGCATTACGTGGCTCCAACTTTACTCTACCAATGGTATACATACTGATTTTGCTGGTTTCGCTGTTTATCGGCTTGTATTTTTTATTTTTAATATATTAATTATATTCTAAATATGCAAGAATTTTTTTGCATATAAATTTGTTCCTTCAAAAGTCAATTTTTTTGGTTGAAAATGAAATTAATTTTCTTTTTAAAGAGTGGAAAAAAATTTATTTGCTTTGTGATTTCAAAGTTTGAATTTTTTAGAACTTTACAATTTGTTTTTGGCCACAAAAATAATTTGTTCTATCTCAAAAATCATTTTTATAGGGTAAAAATTGACTTATAAATCATATTACTCTAATTTGAAACGAGTTTCCCGGGTCGAAAAATTTAAACTGATTTTAAGCTAAATGATCTGCACTTGAACTTATTGATCTGTATTTGAACTTTTAAAAACATTTTCATCTGTATTTGATCTACTATTCAAATTATTTTTGATCTGTTTTAAGTCTAAATAACTTTTTAGTAAAATAATTGAGCAGCTATGAATATTTTATGCTGTTTCTAATCTAATGAAACTAAAAAGTTTTAAAAGTTTGATCGGGTTTTAGTCTAGTTAATTTGTAGATGGACTTTATATATTGTTTTCAAATTCAATATGAAATCCTATACT